AATTGTGTCAGAAGTATTGCATAAATGTTTAACTTTTAAGACCGATGTCGTTTTAGTACAGTAATGGTCTATGAATTAGTTGATGCAGATCAGCGATTGACTTACACATTTGGATTTTGCAATTTTGAGTTTTGTTTTGTAATTATCCACAACTGCATCCACCAATTTGAATTTTTGAAAACGGTTTCTAGTCTTGTAATCACCGACTCAACGAGTCTTGGGATATCGAATTTCATAAAAATCTGAACTTTTTTTTTTTTAAATCCACCCGCTAGATTGTATCCGTAATTTGAATTTTTGAAAACTGTTTCAGTTTTGTAATAAGCGACTCAAAAAATCTTTGGATATCAAATTTCATAAAAATCCGAAATTATTAGATCCACCATTTCGAATTTTTAAAAACTGACTTCAGATTCGTAATCAGCAAACCCAAAACTCTTGGAGGCCAAGTTTAATAAGGTTTAAAAAATCAAAGCGCAATATTCCACTGACCGATTCAGCGTAGGGGGTTTTAAGGGTTGTTTTCCGCCAGAGAAACAGTAAATGACTAAATAGTCTAGAAAACGGCAAAATACGGACAGTTTTTTGTCGCTACTTTCCGAAAATGCTTAATTTTTTCATGGGTGCAAAATCGTGTCGGAGAATGTATTTATTGGCCTTGCTGGCATTGAAATCGCCAATAAAGATTTTTGTTTTATTTGAACTCTGCACAATGGGTTCAAGTTTGCACCGCTTTTTGGTCAAAATGGTATACGCTTTAGTAATTTAGTTGAAGAAAAATGTATTCTAAAAATTTATTTTAGAAAACTTACACTTAATGAGAATTAACTAATGTGTTAGGCACATACAAATTGCGAAATTATCGCTAAGCATAATTCCATACTTTCCTCCTTCCGTTGAATATTCCAAAATCTACTTTCTTATATCAACTTCCTTCTTCGAGGGTTCGGCATCATGTTTAACGGTATTGCTGACCAATCGCTTATAGCCTAACTTTTTCTTCATTGCCTTGTTTGCTTTGCTGTAAATTGCACGTAGTCGTAAGTATTTGCGCAATCGTTTATACCGTTGAACCGACGACCATTGTCGGCACATCGTAGTTTTATCACAAGTGGCCAGCTTATCCGCAGTCACAGATGACTTCTTGGCGCATTCGAAATGTAGCAGGGAGCGTATGGGATGTATGATGGCATAGTAGACTAGTTCGACTATTGAGATGAAACTGAAACCCAGAAACAGGCCCATTAGTCCACCAACGGCAGCTATCATTCAGAAACGAAAAAAAGTAACAAATTACGTAATTAATTAATAACTAACTAAATACATTTGTGCTTCCTTACACAAAAAGTCCGTGGTGCCTATGAACTCTGTTTGTATGCTACTCCGAAAGGAATACTCTTTAAAATACATATTGACCACGGCGATATTCTGCTTGGCATAGCTCCTATTGTACCGTTGTACGCGCTGGTTTT